TATATATATATATATATATATACATACTTATTTACGTATTTACAATTGTCATAGTAATTTGCAAGCTATCGATACTTCCTTTCAAAATATCGGTCAAGTATCGAGGAATCATCGATTTGCAGTTAAACGAGAATAGACTCTTTCGTTGAGTATTTCGAACTAGTTGTTCCAAATATTGCTAACACATATACTGGGTGTTTCAAAATAATTATTATTTTCTATTTATCATTAGTACATATTGCAATGAAATGATATTTGTCCTAATTATATTAATAAACATAGAAGTTTTATTTGTATTGATTTAATTCAATGAAACTTGAAACTGTTAATTGATTTTATCATACGACCCCAATTGATTCTGATATCTGAACTCATATTAAATCAATCGTTTATGGGACGCATATCAATAGAGAAGAAGAAGAAGAGATTAATTAATTACTGGAATTTCTATTCTTGTTTTTTGATGATCCTTGTAATTGTTCCTTGTTTATTATTATTTCAAAGAATTTCATCGTTCAATTTATACGACGTTACACATTGTCTATCTATTATTATCTGTGTCAACAATAATTGTCGCTTTGAATTATGAACAACAACAATTTTCTTTTTTTTATCATCCTTTTAATACAACATTTACTGTAATATTTCAATAATTTGACTAAATTGTAAATGTGTAACTAATACTTGAGATAAAATATTCATAAATCAATATTTTCAAGTGTGTTATTGTTACTTCAAAAAAAATGTACACGTTATGACAAATTTAATAAATGAATTGTTATTCGTTGTTAGAAAATTGTTCTCTTCATTTCTTTCATCATCATCATCATCATCATCATGAAAATTAACTCAATTTTGGGGAACCGTTTTTTTTTTTTTTTGTTTAATATTTTATTACCAACAGTTGTTTTTGATTATAATGAGAAAAAGTTACTTTGAAACGAAACACTTTGAATACCAACGTACAGTTACGAACAGTTGGACTATTGTTCTTGTTTAAGAAGTAGAACATTGTGGTATATTCACGATGGCGACGACATAATAATTATAATGCATAACGTATTGATACTCGTGAGAATTTACAATAATTATATGCAAGAGAAAAAGTAAATATGTTTTCGTTTAGTCCGTTTTAAAAATGTCCCGTCTATTTATTTTCAACGTATTACAATGAAATTTTTGTTGAGTATGACAGAAATGTTGAATTGTATGTCTATTTTTTTGTTTTTTTTGTTACTTCAATTGATCATCACTTTTGAATAGGACCCCTTTTACATTCATAATTATTCCTAAATGGAATATCATTCATACTAACATAAGTGTTACGTCATGTTCTTTCAAAAGAACATATGACATGTAATCTTTTTTAACTACGTTGTTTGCGACACGTATCTACTATACTTGCATTTGCAAGTTTACATAATTGAAATAATTGAAATAATTGAAAAAAAAACAGAAAAATTATATTTTAAATTGATAATGATAATTATTATTATTAGGTTATCGGGAAAAGTTCGTGACGATTTACGATTCAAATGAAAAAAAATCAGATTTAAAAAGTTGAAATTTTCAAGTTATCTGAAAAATGGAGAAACGGGGTTTTTCATACAAAATGAATCTTATATAATTTAATAAATTTATATAAAAAAAAAATTTCAATGCGTTGTGCGTTTCGATCTTCCGTCAAAATTGGCACGAATTTTCCATTTTTTTTTTTTTTATTCAACTTCAGTTATTACAAAAAAAAAAAACAAATTAAAATTAGAATTCGAAAAATTAGATTATGACTCGATTAAATGAATTAACAATAATAATAATAATAATAAATATTAATTAAATTCATCATAAATATTTAACAATTTGAAGAATGTTCTGAAACACAAATAAAATTTTATTAAATTTACAAATAAATTGAAGAATGTTGTGTGGTCTATCATTCTATACATTGTATCAAACTTATACAGTTAAATGCTAAATAGATACACTATCAAAATACATATGTAATTTAGACAACAAATTTTAATATTCCACCAATATTCTGTCTGGCATTTACCTTTTTCATCGTAACACAGACACACACACACACACACACACGGTACGTTTAATAATCAAAAATAAAACTAAAATGTATAATCATTCAATTTCGTAAATATTCATTCAGTTTTCGTTATAACGTTCGTATATACCGCCATTTCACTAGAAATTCCGCTTTTATCGACACACGTTTAAAATTCCCCGCTCTTTCATCAGACATGTCTCTCTTAAAACTTAACCTAATTTTTTGCTAAAATTCTTACTAAAATAAAAACAAATAAACAAATCAAATTCATTTAATTACATGCCACATCGAAGTTATAGGTTCGATAGAATTAAATTTTTAACAAATCAATCATCAACATTTCAAAAATATCATTCTGCATGAAATAATATTTAGGAAAAATTATTTTCTAAACGTGAAATATAACAAAAAAACAAAACAAAACAAAACAATAAATAAAAACCGATATTTATAATAAATCAATGAAAAAATTGTCCATTATCGTAATCGTTTGATCGATGTTATCAAACATTGCAACGAAAGACGAGAGAAAAAAACCAAAAAAAAAACAAAAATTAAAAATGGTGGCATATGGTGTGAGAAAGAAAGTGGAGGGGGGGGAAGTAGTGAGAGTGGAGTAGAGTGGAGTGGGGGGGGGGAAAGGAAAGAAAAAAAATACCAACGAGGGTTGGAGAAAATTTATGCGGTAAGGGTTGCTAACCGAATGCGCGAGAGAAAAAAAAAAGGGGAATAAAAAGGAATAAGAAATAAAAAAAAAAGCAAGAACAAAAAAAAAAAAACAGAAAAAAGAAAGAAAGAACATAGAAACGTACGTAATAGAGAAAAATCGATCGATGGTATGCCATTGACTAAGAATAAAACGTCGCTGGTAGCGACTCCTGTAAATATGTTGAAAATTGTGTAAATGTTACCTGTAGAAATTATTGAACAGGAATGACACTATCTGCATTTCGTCGTCCATGTTTTTCTCTTAGGCTTCTTTTACCGGTAATTCTGTTACTATTAGTAACATTTATAATCACTACCACGAGTAATAATGACAACAACAACAACGATAACGATAACGACACAACAACATCAACACAAAATGACCAACTACGCGAATCAATAAGAATTATTACGTGAAATTATAATTACGCGTTAATTTATTTATTTAATTTTTTTTTTTCAACGAATTATTTTTCAATTCTTCACCTTACGTCAAAAAGGTTCTTCTCTTTCCAACGAGAAGATAACGATTACAACATACGACTTACGCACTAACAGAACCACCACTAACATATACCTACACATGCGCATGCGTCTCTCTCTCTCTCTCTCTCTCTCTCTCTTTCAATCAACGAACATAATTTACTTACGAACAACGACGACTTTTTGCGAGTAAGAACACGTTGTTATGAAAAGTAATTTCGTTATATCATGTATAATATATGCTATGTAATACTATACCATATCGTCGGTTTTCCCCCATAAAATATGGAAGGTCTAACTCTATTAAATAGAAAAAACAAAAAAAAACCAAATATATATATATATATTATCTCTATTTTCATTTCGCGCAAAATATACTGCGCAGGCGGTTAAATATAAAACTCAATTGTTTATACATTTATTTTTTTTTTTTTTTTAAATAAAAAGTAATGTGGGATATAATTTACAATGTGTGTGTGTGTGTGTGTGTGTGTTTTCTTTTTTCTATTTTAATGGTTACTGTGATAAATATAATTTATTTATTTATTTATTTATTTAATTATTTATACTAGAAAAGAAAAATTTACATAATAATAATAAAAGTTACTACATAGTCAATTCTACAAGAGTTAAACATAGTTACCTGTACATAGGCTGGTACATAACTTAAATTACTAATACTTAATAATTAAGATAATATAACAAAGATAATAAAGATAAGATAATAACCTAATATAACTAAGAAAATATAATTACATTGAAATAACATTAATAAACTTTAGAATAATTTTTTTTTTTTTTTTAGGTAAAACATTTCTACCTTTTAAGATGACAAGTTTTTAAAAGCATTCTAAATTATTACTAATTTTAATAAATATTTTCAAGATTATATACACAAGAACAAATATTAATCTGTTTATGAAAACATTCGTAATAATTCGTATGATTTCATCTTTCAACTTTTGGATCAATAAAACAAATAATCTGTTTTTATAAAATAACTAGGGATGCCCCGTCACACGTTGCTGTAGTTCACAATCAGACCGATATACACGTCTTTAAGTCAACGAATTACCTTATACCGCCATCTGTTAGAATCTTATCGAACTAACAGAGATAATCATGACTCGTTTGTTAATAAACAAATAATTTGCGATTATAAATTGAGATATAAACTATCCTATCTTTCAAGTGGAATGAAATTGTACACGGTGTGCAAAATTTTATTCAAATCAGTTCAGTAGTTTAGGAGTCCATTGCGGACAAACAACGTGACACATAATATATATATATATATATATATGTATATAAATATTTTTTATATACATGCATAGATATATGTAAATCGTATATATGAGACTGATGTTAAAAAGTTTTATTTTATTTTATTCAAATTGATATGAGTTTGATCGAAAAAGAAAATGGTTTCTAAATAAAGCTAAAGACTTTTCAACCAAGACAAGTAGATATTTAGGTTTGTACAAATGTAAGTATATGTAAGTAGATGGAATGACAGTGGAAGACAGGTCATCATGTAAAATGTTAAATCGACGACGATTAAGCACTATGTATACACAGATACATATATCCATTTATATATACATATATATATATATATATATATATATATGTATTTGTGTGTTTGTATATATATATATATGTGTGTGTGTATGTATAACAAGGGGGCAATCAAGAAGCGCAGAGAGAACGGAAATAAGATAAAACAACGAATTTGTCGTTACGATTTAATCCCTCGCCACTCTGTGAGACTCGGAATTGTTCTTCTTGTCTGGGCATTTCTCTAACGATATTTGCCAAAATGAAACGCAGCAAAAAGTCGGCATTTTCGTCGTTGTCTACCATAGGATTAAAACGAACAATATGAATATTTTAATTGTCGGAGTCGAGCTTTACTCCGTTAGTGAGTGAGTGAGAAACGTATATAAAGACAGAGAAACATAGAAAAGATAAAAAAAATAAAAAAGAGAGAGAGAGATAGAGAGAGAGAGAGAGAGAGAGAGAGAGAGATAGGAAAAGGTTCGTCGCATATAACTTCGAAATGCAGGAAGTCCGGCGTCACGGATTATAGGAATTTTTATTTGCACGGATGACGTCGTCGACGTCGGTCTATAAAGCGTTAATAAAAACACAGAACACCAGCTTCATATCAAAAGTATATATATATATATATTATATATACCATATATACATCTGTATATATGACTTATTATTATATCGGGTTGTCCTCAAAGTAATTTCGTTTATTGCACAGAAATATATCGTTATGGTTACGTTAGGGTTTAATTTCCCTTCTCCCCCTCCTCCCCCCCCAAAAAAAAACACACACACAGTTTGTAGAAAAATAATCTTGTAATAATCTTATTAAAATAGAAAAGGGTTAATATTACTAAAATATCTTCATTTGAATCAGATAACTATTGTAACTTTGAAATACTATTTTTCTTAGATAATAGTTTATATTTTTAATCCTTGATATAAATATGTATATTTTAACGTATAGAAAAATATAATTTACACATATACAAGGAGAACATACTTGACAAATATATTAATGTTTTTTAAATTCTATATAGTTTTAAGGGTACATTAAAATCATAAACTCTTTCTGTACAAGCTAGTAACACCCAATACTCAATCGTTGTTAAGAAAAATAGCAGAGAATTTTCACATGCATGTAATTAATTTATGGCGATCAAATAAAATATTGTAGTATTTTTAACCCTTTCACTCCGATGGCCGTATATATACGCCCTAGAAAAATGATACGCAATAATGTACGAAGAGCGTATATATACGTTCCTCAAAAGTACACGATCAAATATGAAAAAATAAAACGCTCCGTATCATCCAGCGATTATATTTTGTCTCAAGCATTCCAGAGCGAAAGGGTTAAAATATATATAAATGACGTGTCACGTTGTTTGTTCGCAATGGATTTCTAAACTACTGAACCAATTTGAATAAAATTTTGCACACCGTGTGCAGTTTCATGAAAGTTGAAAGATAGGATAGTTTATATCATTCTAACAGATGGCGGTATAAGGTAATTCGTTGATTTAAAGACGTGTGTATCGGACTGATTGTGAGCCACAGTAACGCGTGGCGAGGAACCCCCAATCTACTGTATATAATCTTATGTATAGAAAAGAATGAGATAGAAAGAGTAAGAGAATGAAAAAGTTTGTGTAAGAGAGAGAGAGAGAGAGAGAGAGAGAGAGTAAGGAATAGAGGGTAAAAGTCGTGCGTGCGGAAAGTGTCATAAAACTGACTCAAGGGTGTAGTTTCCTCAGGGGTTGTATGTAAAGCACGGAGTAAAAAAAAAAGAGAGAAAGAAAGAAAAAGAAAGAGAGAGAGAGAGAGAAAGTGAGATAGGAAATAAAGATAGAGCTATAAGTTTGCTATAGGATTTGTTTTTCCTATTCTTTTGTACTTTTTCGTATTCCGGTATTAAAAAATTTCTCTTTTCTATTGTAACGTGTTGGTAGCGTGTCAAGAGAGAACATAGATGCGTTCGATAGGCGTGTTAATATCCGTAGGAGACAATGGGGAAATCGATATGGCTTTTATACCATGTGTGTATTATGTTATATATATATATATATATATATATATTTATACATATATGCACAGGCTATTTCAAAATTACTATTCCTATTTGTCGAATCGTCGTATAGAAAATATGAAATTAAAAGATTATTTTTTATTTTATTTTATTTTATTTTTTTTTTTTTTTGTATGAATTAAAATTGATCTAGATTGCTATTAAAGTACTTCGTTATCTAGATAATAGAATGAAAATTTTGATAATTATTCGTTAAAGTTGATCTAATTATTATTTGAGTATCAATTGATTTTGTGTATTTGGAATTTGAATCGAATTAATCGCGTCAAATTTTACGCATATTATTTTTATTAAAAAAAATAAAAGGGTTTAATTAATTTTTAGAATTATTTTTATACTAGCGATGAGAGAGAGAGAGAGAGAGAGAGAGAGAGAGAGAGAGCTTAGTATAATCGTTCGCAGATGTTTCGAAGAATTTATTCGTTTAATTATACAACATACTTTTAGCGTCATAAATGGTGGTAGTAATTTAGAACAGATTTTATATAATTGTTTTAATACCATTCTCTCTCTTACTCTCTCTTTCTCTCTCTCTCTCTTTCTCTTTGTAATATTTCACTAATATGTAGTAATTAATCTCTATGTAACCCAATTTTATTTAAATTCACAATGGAAAAAAACATTTCCGACTACATTTATTTGCCCTTTTTACTTGGAACATGTTGCAATTATATAAAATGTAGATACACGTTTTAAAAAGGAGAACAAAGTTAACCTTGAAGTTAATGTTTAAATTATTTTTTTTTTTTTTTTTTTTTTATTGACAACATTCGAATTATTGAATTTGAAAGAAAAAAATTATTATATACTTTGTACACGTTAATTAATTAATTAATAATATTAATAATAATAATAATAATAATAATAATTTTATGATGATAAATTAAATAGAATTTTGAAAAATACTTGGATCTATGCGTAACATTAAATACTTCATTTCAACATTACGTAACACTGAAACATTAAAATTAAATCAATGAGTTGTTGCTTTTAACCTGTTCAGATAGTTTCTCGTTTCTTTCAAATATTATTACGATAGTCAATTAAAAGTTTAATATTAATTACAATAAAACTTTCACACACATACACACACACACACAGTATCCGAATGAATAGGAGAACATAATTGTTAGCAAGCAAGAATTTTCATTACGTGAAATACTCATTTTTTATTATGATTGTTAAACGTGTATGTATTTAGAAAATATGACAGAATACAGTGCAATATAGAATGATTTAATAAAAAATATCTAATAATGTAAAAAGACTAATAGATAATAATAGACAATAGAATTAGAAAAATGTACGATAAGGTTTTGGCAATGGATAGAATTAGGAAAGGATACTCAAATTTCGAATAATACAATGTTTTCATAATGCATTATGCGAATAGTAAAATTTTGGAAAATTATTAATGTTGTTCGAAAAGTAA